ATTTATTCTGCAAAAAGAATGTGTTTTTGTTTGGGCTGATGTAATATTTCTTATATTACCGCCACTTGCAACCCCTGTCATTCAACTTAATTAGCAGATTGTTGTTTTCTGCAATGTCATAGAAGTCAGTGTGCATTAATACGCCAAGAGAGATATAAAACTGGAAGCAGGGCACATTCAGTGGCTGTAGGCCATGTCAGTTTTACTTTCCAGCGGAACTATTACATCGGCCCACTGCTGAACAGAGAGTAAAGTGGGCTCAGAGACGGTTCAGAAAATTATTATAAAGTCTAAAATTACACATCATCTTTGGTTGGCAGATTTAAGTTAAGTCAGAACACCTGGGTGTGAAGTCCCTGCACCCAAAACAAACTATAGGTAGTCTGCTGGTTTATTTAATTCTAATATATTTGAACTAAACTTTGAGCTACTTCTTGTGAAGTGTGAATTTAAAAAACAACGCTCTACCAGTCAGCATGGTATAGTCAAAAGTCATACCGTTGTACTTTCTATACCGTCCCTAACACTAGTGATTCAGATCATTAGTCAAGGATCCCCCCCATTTGAACCCCATCTTTTAAGTCAAAGAATCATACTTTCCTTGTACACAAAACACACTATAACAGCAAGGTAAAACGGTAAATGGACCTGTACTTGTATAGCGCCTTTCTAGTCTTCCGGCCACTCAAAGCGCTTTTACATCCACATTCACCCTTTCATACACATTCACACAGTGATGGCAAAGTCCATCGCCATGGCACAATATGAAGTTTTATAAACCTAAAATAATAAAATAAAATGAGCAGGATGCGCATGTTTTTCTTTCTCTGACTGTGTGAAAGTTTTTACTTTACATATGATGAGAATGTCCGATACTAGTGAAGGTGCTTTTCTTTTACACATGAGGCAAGAATTTCTCCTCATTTTTGGTCAAATGTATTTTAGACATTTTGGCTACCTTGTAAAAATGCACCTGTTTATTCTAGGGGGGCCTATGTGTGATTCTTTACTTTTCTTTTTTTTTTTTAAATTGGTCATTTTACAACACAAAATATGCATGTAAAGAATAAAAACCATGCACTATCTTGTTATCTATGATATCATCTGGCATGGGGAGAGAATAGGTTTTAGTTTTCCCTGCAGTGTTAAACATGAAGTGTCACAGCTCTGTGCTAGAGCCTGTCTGCCCGTGTGTTGCCGTATATGTGGATGTCTAACGACCGTAACTAAACTGAACTCTGTTCTCTTTAACATTGCAGTATTCCCTTTGATAGAATATCAGACATCAATTTTTCACTGAATACAAATGAAAGTGTAAGTACTTTGATTATTAATCTCTAATTCATACATAGTCAATGAATGAGGGGAAATATTCTCATGAAACAAATGAAAATGTGTTATAAAAATGGCATGTATTATATTTCCTGATGTCACTGTTGACATTCATTTAGAAGCCAATACCACAATACTTCCTAGACAACAAATGTATGGCACTAACTACTATATGAGCATTCATCTTGATGAAATAAAACCACAGGCTTGGAGTAAAGCACAAATATATATATATATATATATATATCCATATAACCTGTATATCAAAACTGTCGTGCTATGATACTGGATGTATACATCTTAATGTCTGCTTCACGGCTGAGTGGCTTTTGTTCTGCAGGATCCAACCCTAGTTTGTATGTATAGCATGTACTTTAGATGTAAGCAGTGTTTTTGTAAGTGTGTGGCCTGTGTGTGTTTTTCCCCAGGCAAATATAGCTTTGTTTGAGGCACGCTGTAAGGAGAAAATCCAGCAGTTTGAAGATGCTGGTTCAGATGAGGAGGACATCTGGGATGAAAAAGATGTCACCTTCGCACCAGAGGCACAGAGACGCCCCAGGTCTGCTAAACACACACAGATTTAGAGGTTTTTCCCATCTAACGTCACACTGAATAAAGTTCTATTGTTTTTTTTTTTTTTTTGTCGTCATCATCCTTCTCATCAAAAATGTACCAGCCATAAAATGCATCATGCATTTGACTAAAAATAATGACGTTTTAAGCCTTTCTGAACCTTTTGAATAGGATCCCAGGGCTTCTGCGTCCTTCAGACCCTACCTCTCGCAAAAACCACAGACCTCTGTGACTTTTCTCTTCGTGTTCTATTTTCGGTGGCCCAACAACACCCACCTCTCTAATAACCTGTAACGCAAATGTTTAGAAACTACCAAATGATAGTAAGCTGCTTTGATTGGATTGGCTGACGTCATGATAGCTACGCTTGACAGTGAGGGTCACATAAAGGTGTGCCACCCCTAGTGCAGATAGAAAGCACAGCGCTGCTGTGTGTCAATCTCCGCACCCTCTCAGGCTTGTGGTAACAGCACATCCGCATTATTGACAAATTATCCTTTGCTATTACTGTCCAGTGTCTTCTCTGAAGAGCCAATCTCAAGAGCCATGGCTTCTTTTTTGTCATTAAAATGTATAATTTCATGGCCAGTGATACTGGAAAAAGGACAGCGGTGTGAAGTGACACAGGGCAGCGCATCTATGGGCGTCTGTGTGGGGGTTATATAAAGACAATATTAGGGGCAGCTGTCTTTATGTATGATGTAAACTTGTCCTTACATTGTGATTCCAAATTATTTACTGGTCACCTGGCCTGTGACCCCAGTTTATTTTCCCCCCAAACCCCAATTTTTCCAGCATTTGGTGCTTGGGTGTTTATTTTAGGCCCTATTTTTTTTTTAATACATCGTTTTGATTTATTAGTTACAGAATTGTCTATAGAAAAAGTTAAACACTTCTTACATTTGTGAAACTTTAACTAGCATCATGACCTAAGCATTTCCTCTGTGCTCATTGCAAATTAAAACCAAACTTAATAAGTTAAATGAGTAATTGACATAGTCATTGGCTAACTTTCTGTTTGATAATCGATCAGCACAAGCTAAAATTGATTCTGGATAGCCACTGTATAAGTGTGGACTCTGTAGCTCCACATTTATTGTGCTTCTCAGTATAAAGAAAGGATAAACTCAGACACAGATTGGAAATAATTTTTGATCTGTGTCCATCCCAGGAGCTCAGGCAGCACAGACAGTGAGGAAAGCACGGACTCAGAGGAAGAGGATGTGAAGAGAGATCCGTTTGAAGCTTCCAACCCCAGCACCGATGACAGAATGGAAGTCGACGCAGGTTGGTGTGCTCGAGCACTACATATCAACACAAAGACAGAACAGTAACAAATGGACCAATTGCCTCTCTGACTTGGTTTAGGATTGAAAATAGAATTCGATTCAGCCCAGCTGGGTTAGGGTTAGGGGATGTGGGTTTTTGACTCATCAGTCATGATGATTGATGGTGAGGGTTATGGATGGAATAAGGATACGTCTTTCTGTCCACAAGTAGGAATGGCCAGTATTAGAAATCGTTCAGTGTTCGATGCAGTGTTTTTTTTTAATTGACACAAGAACATTTTCTGACAATTTTGTGCATTTATGTTTTTAGGGCCAGTATGGACGGCTAACTTTGATGACATCCCCATGGACACAGGTACATCCACAGCTCCGACCTCAAGCCCCAACAACCCTGCTGCCTCCTCTCCTTTGTCCTCCTCCTCTTCCACAGAAGTTCTCCCTGAGGCAGGATGGAGCTCCTCTCCTGCTTCAGCCTCTAACTCTGAAACAGGCTGGGCTGATTTCTCCAACTTCACCCCTGTCAGGTAGGACATCCTGACAGACTCTGGCTCACTGTCTTTTTTTCCTCTTTCCTTGTCTTTGAGTCTGACAGTGTGCTTCATAAAAAAAAAATTGCTATCTTTCAGCCCCAAAGACCCTCTGAGGTGCAACTCTCCTGTTGCTATGGAAACCAGCATAGAGACAATGGACCCTCTGGGGGTCAATGCACCCATGCAGCCTGAAGGTTAGATGTATGCACATGTCACTCACACACACTCACACACACACACACACACACACCACACACACACACACACAGGTCCCTCTAACATTTGCACAGTCCAAAATCACATTGAATGAGTGAGTGAATATACATCCTGTCAAGGTAGCTGTGAGTTGTTGAAACAGCTTAAATGATGACACTTTTGCCGCCGCCTCCCCCCCCCCAGATTGCGATGGCTGG